CCCCCCCCCGCCCTCCGCCGAGGGCATGGCCGGGCACGGCTGCCGCCAGCACCACGGCCGGGGTCCGGTGCACGGCGCCCGGACCAAACAGCGGGCCCCGCGCATCGAGCCCCCGCGCCAGGCGGCGGGGCTCCCGGCCTCGGCGGCTCCGTTGGCACATCGGCCCGGCCCAGGGGTCTCGATCATCCCCCCCCCCAGGGCGGGCGCAGACGCGCGGGGGCGGTTTTTCGGCCGGGGCCGCCGCAGGATCCCCGCCGGAGGAACAACACTCAAGCCCCTTACCCCCCCCTTCCGCGCACTTCTCGCCCTTTTTCGCCCTTTTTCACCCACGCGCTCCCGACATGGCCGGCATCCACCGGGCGTCGCCGGCGGCGGCGGCGGCCGCCGCCGCCGCCGCGGCCACCCCTCCCATCCCCTGCCGCATGTTCAGCTTCAATGGCACCCAGGTGCGGGTGGTGGCGGGCACACGGCCGGGCCTGCAGCCCGACGCCCCGGGCGACGGGGCCTGGCCGTGGCAGCTGCTCATGGCGCCGGGGCTCTTCGCCAGGCTGGCGGCCGGGGCGCCGGGCCCGCTTTTCCTGGCCGTCGGCGGGTTGGTTCTCTGGGCACGGTGCGTCCTTTGCTTTGCTTTGGTGGCCTGCCGCGGCGGTGCCTTTGCCGGTGGCCTGCGCGAAGCGCGTCCCTCACCCTTTGCAACCTGCTGCGGGCAGGCCCGACCCGCGGACCACGGGCGGCTCGGTCCTGCTGGGCCACGATGTGGCTGCCCTCGGCCCCGGCGAGGGGCCCGTGCTGGAGGCGCGGCGCTTCGAGCCGGTCGAGCTGCTGGCCGCCTGTCTGACGGTGTCCATGCCGCGGGGCGCGGAGCCGCGGCGGATCCCCCTGGCGGCGCTGGATGCCCAGCGGCTCCTGGTTGGGCGCACGCAGGGGCTGGCCATTTCCGAGGTGCGCACCCCGGCCAGCGGGCTCTTTGCCGCCGGCGCACCCCCCCCCCCCCCCCCTCCTCTAACGGTCCACATGCAGATCCTCCGGCTGGCCATCGAGGGGCGCAGCGCGGTGGAGCTGGCCGCGGTCGAACTCCGGGCGGCCGATGGCCGCGCCGTGCCCACCGGCATGGTGACCCCGGCCACGACGGTGACGCTGGTTGCCGGCCCGGGCGTCCAGCTGCCGGGCGCGCCGGTGACCGTGGCCCTCTCGGTCGGGCGCCCCCGGCCGGGCGACGCCGACTCGGCCCCATACCCGCGGCATGTGACCCTCACGAGCATGTACCAGGCCCCTCACGACCTAGATGTGCTGCTGGCGCCGGCCGGCGAGGCGGTGGCCCGGGCGCTGGCCCGGTCGGCCCCGGCCGGGGGCCCCTTTTACGTTCGGCACCAGGACCGGGTGCTGGAAGTCCGGTACGCGGGGGATGTGTCTTTGTGCCAGGGGGGGGGGGTATTCGCGCGCACTCGCTGACCGGCCGCCATGCAGGATCTGCCCCCGGCCGACCGTGCCGGGGATCGCGCTCCGGGCGAGCGTCCGCGTTGCGGCGTCGCTGGGGTCGGGGTCGGATGGGCGGCCGGTGGCGCTGGACGTGTGCGAGGCGCCGCCGGCGGTGGCGGTTGCCTGGCTCGAAACCGACGTGGCCCTCTGCCCGGCGCGCCGGGCGCACATGGTGGCCGAGCTGATTGGCGCCCCGCTGACGGCGGGCCAGGTGCGTTGTGAAGCGCCTGCTCAATGCCCGCCCGGGCCTGGGTCCCTGACACCCGCGCGCCGTGGTAGATCTTCCGCTGGGCCCCGTCGGACGCCCTGGTGCGGGTGGTCCGGCTGATGGACCGGGACTTCCGGGGCATCGGCGCCGGCCAGGCGGGGGCCTTCGCCGCGGAGACCGTGCTCTTCATGCAGACGGCCTCCGGGCCCGGCGAGCAGCCGCACCACTTGGTGGTGGTGCCGGAGGCCCCGGCCGGGGAGCGGGCCCTCCTGCTGGCCTCGGTGCCCATGGACCGTGCGCCCGGCACGCTGCTCGTGTCGGAGGCGGCCTTTTCACGGCTGGCCGGGCCGGGCCGGGCGCACCATCGCGCCATCCCCTTCATCTGTCAGGGAGGGCTCCTGAATGTGCGGTGCGTGTGAATGTCACCTCCTCCGGGCAGGGGGGGCGTGGGCGTGGTTTTCCACTCCGGGCCCCGTGCTCCCGCATGCTGGCGTGCTGACGCGACGCCCGAAACAGGCCGAGTGACCAAGTCGGCCGCTTCGACGTCGGCATCCACCCGCAGGACGCCGAGCAGCTGGGCCTGCCG